CTCCCAGCTCAAATCTAGAGGTGACAGGGCTTTCTCCATTGCCGCCCCGAGACTCTGGAATAGTCTCCCCCCCTTCATAAAATTCCCTTCATCCTTGGAAGTCTTTAAATTGAATCTCAAGACCTACTTATTTTCCAAGGCTTTCGGATCTCTTTGATATTACATGTCTTACAATTCTTTTTTTTTTAAAAATGTTTTCTTTCTATTTTAATTCTTTTATTATATTATCCCTCTGTTCAGCACTTTGGCCGACACTTGATGTCTTTTAAATGTGCTATATAAATAAAGATGACTTGAATTGACTTGACTTAATTTAGCCCAACTTAATAATCACAAATTCCTCTGCATACGTTCAGTTCAATGCATTCCACCCACTGGAGAGATTTCCCAAAGCAGATATTTATAATGCATTCCATAAATGAAGAGCTTAATCAGCACATCCCTCCAGTCTGACACCTCAATCGGTTTTCTAATCTCATTTCTAATTCATCTCACTCTGGCCCCCAACAAACCTGGTGCTGTGAAGTGCATTTTGACATTAATCCTTCAAATTTGCAGTGCGCAGTGAAGCAAGGCAAGAGTGGTTTGGCATGAATCCCATTCACAATTCAATGCATAAAACTCCACAAAGTTCATTTGTCTTCCATTCAAGTTCATCTGTGCTCTGTGAATGGTTTTAAAGTTGTGTAGATGTGTCTTTTCTCTCAGTGAGTTGAAGAAATCCTTAAGGTGCATGTGGCTGCACATGAGAAACATGAAGAAGAATCAGCTTTACCATAAACATTAGCTGTAGGTACATTTTTTACTCTGTGTCAAAATAACTGCAATCCATACTGGTGATTGTTCTTGTTAGGGGCCAGGTTTGGTTATGTTCTTGTTCTTGCCATTTAGATTCTTTTGAATAACACTTTACAGCCAATACGAAATGACCTTTAACACTGTTAAGAGGTGTGTGTGTGTGTGTGTGTGTGTGTGTGTGTGTGTGTGTGTGTGTGCGTGTGTGTGTGTGTGTTTGCATCTTTGCAATTTTTCTTGACATTTTATCAGAAAAGGTCACAGCACTTTTGAGTTTTGTGTTTGTTGATTCTGTCCTGAAAATCAAAGCTAACCTCTGTGTGTGTGTTTTTTTTACATATTTCACAATGATTGTGGATGTTCAAGGCCCAATGCTGTGTCTGTAGCCGCTTCTGAGTTGTGGTTTAGGAACATGGCATTTTCTATAAGGGTCCACCTCTGAATGTGGCTGAAGCCTGCTGTATCATGTTATTGATGCCAGCAACAGGGACACTCCCATGCTGTCAAGCAACTTTAAACTCATCCATTAGTTTGATAATCTGCTCAGAAATAACTTGCCATTTTGACATTGCCTTAATAGGTTCTACTATTTTTCTGCTACTTGGGAGTATGACAAGATGTTGAGGTTGTCAGGGGTCACCACTAACATTGTTTTGCCCATGGAAATATGTAACACTTTGAGGTTACAGGAAGGAAACCAGCTCAGTTAGTTCACGGTTCCGTGCATTCAAATGTCTGAAAGAATTACAGTTTACGTGTGCAAAAAGGCATCGTGGCTGAGAAAACATAACTCTTTTGATCAACAGAGTTATAATATTACACGGTCTCAATTCTGAATATTAAAGTCATTGGTCAATGTTTTAATTTAAAATAACTACTGTTTCCTCACAGGCCTGTTGTCGCACTGATGGAAATGCAGATGTGGCATGCATTTCTCTCTAAAACTTACCCACATAGTATAAGTTGCCAGAAATTTATTACTAGTGCTGTCAGCGTTAATCTCGATAAAATGACGTTAACGCCATAACCGTGTTAACGCCATAACCGTATTAACACCGCAAATCTCCGTTATCAAGTTGACACAGATCGCCCCGTGCACGGGGCTGGACAGCGCTAACGCGTTAACGGGCTAACCGCACTAATGCATTGACGTCGTGTAGCCCCACGCACGGCTTGTCAACTCGCTAACGGAGATTTGCGGCATTAATGTGGTTATGGCGTTTTCATGAGATTAACCCTGGATCCGGGTGACCAGATTTAAAATTGCTCAAACAAGGTATTTTGAATTTTAATTACCCCCATCTATTTTAAACATAACCTACTCTCATCAGTTCTGACTGACAGCTCATTTATATATATTTATGTCTAAACTTCGCTGTTGTCTTTAAACCTGCACGAAAGATCTTATGGGCGGGTTCTGTATCTTCGTTTGCATTGTATGTTTGTGTTGTTTGTGTGGCATCCACACTCTTTGTTTGCGTCCCACATGAATGCGTAAAAACATCAAAGAGAATATTTTCAAAAGTTGTCATACTTCAGGATGAAGCCTTGGCATGACACTCTGCACACTGAATACTAACACCAAGGTTGTGCCCTTCTACTCACTGTATATTTTAGTCCTTGTGGCATTGATGAACAAAGCCTTCTTTTCACTGAAGTCCTGAGGAGAAGCTCAATCCATAATGCAAAATAAGAGTTCTGGGATGCCGTTTGATGTCTGACCTTCGAGGGTGGTTCTCCCAGGATTTTAGATGGCACTTGTCAAAGTGTGGACCTTTTGTACTGTCCGGTGAGAAGCTTGAACTCCTTCTCTTCTTTTCCTAACTAAGGCAACATGAAATTAAAAAGAAAGCTGTCCACAGAGAGACTTTTTTTGTCCAATCACTAATCATACTCCTCTGTGTGGAGTCTATTATATCACAGAGTCCACATAGGACAAAACAGTGAGTGGACGACTGCTTTGAAAGGCCTGGGGTCAAAAGATTTGTGATCCCACGCTGTCATAGTTTCTGTCACACTGCAGGTGTTATAAAACCAGCCGGAATATGAATGAGTGGGAGATTGCCATGATTGAAATGTCCTAAAGCAACTCTGTGCCTTTGTAATATCCTCCAAGGTGTGGGAGAGGCAAAAGAAAGCGAAAGTAGGACACTAGGCGTAAAGCAGAGACAACAAGGTGGAGCTGCTTGCTACTTTGCTGGCCTGAGCCTGCATACAAGTTGCCCTCAGGCACTGGTTCACAATCAGTATATTTTGTCCTGATTTGCAATGCTGCATGGCAAAGCCTTATCCTCAGCTCCGTGTGCTCCCCGTGGGTATATTGTTTTAGTGTGTGTGTGTGTGTGTGTGTGTGTGTGTGTGTGTAGGTGTCTGTCGCAAAACAGCTTAGGTTTTCTTGTCACTTAACAAGGAAAGCATGACATGATTATATGAGTTCATAACAGACAGAAATGTTGAAACATTTTTTCTTTGTATATCTTCCAGAAGAGCTCCCCCAACTCAGATCGAGGCTTCTGAGAAATGAGCTGCCAATGTAAGTCCCTTGGCTGACCTCAGCGCTTCGCTGGTAATGTTGCTTTTAAATTAATTAAACTGACTGAAAGTTATAATTGAGTACACAAACACTCGTGCATGCACAGAGTCATAACCTTGTACCCCAAACCTATCCCTCACTTCACCTCACTAACCATCAGGGACAGGGTTTGCCGCTGACATACACTAATTTATTAGCAGCTAATTGCTATCCCTTGCAGACATTCTGGTGGGACATCAAAGGATGACACTCCTCAGGAGTAACGATTGAAATTCAAATTTCAAACAATACCCTTTCCCTCCGTATGGTGCTACGGACTTGCCGCCTTTGGTTTTAGTTTGTCATCCCAAGTGCATGGAAGGCTTAAGGCTCTATCAATAATGGATGAGGATTTGAGACTTTACAGTGGGTTTTCCAGGAGATTCAGTGGTTCCATTTAAAGCCCTGCAAGACTGGCACTCTGTATACCTGGAAACTGCTGTTGTCGCTTTGAAGCAGTTCTTGAGGCAGTATAGTCGCTCAGTGCTGCTTACAGAAAAAGATAAGAAGCTGTAACTTTCAGAGAAGCACCGCAGCTGTACACATGGGATTTTAGGGTGAAGTCTATGCTGCGGTCTTTCATAGTGCATTCACTTCTAAAAGCATGCTGTAGCAAGCTGAGGCCCACACAACAAAAGCACTGCAAAAACGTCCCATTTGTATCATATCATGACCCAGTGTGAACTGCAGCATGTTTTCTGTTCTTAGCTGACAGGAGTGGCACCCAGTGTGGTCTTTTGTTTCAAGGTTTGACTCAAGACTAGATAACAAAGACACTGCAAAAGCATTGCGTTTGTGTCATATTGTCCTGTAAACATTGTAATGATTGATTTTGTGTGGACAGCTTGGGGCAGTTCAAAAATCTGTTGACTATCTGGTATTATTTAATGGCGATCATATAGTATGTTTCCCACTTACAAACTATGAGAATTAGCAGACACATCATTTGCATTTTGTTTACTAGGCAATTATAAAATCAGCTTTCAGCATTTACGCTTTGTTTCTTCGCTAACTCTGGAGGGAAAAGCTAAGTCATTAGTAGCTAAATGCTTTATATGCTAGTCAATGACTTTGTGTTAATGGTGGTAAATATTCAGCTTTTTGGGGGCACATTTACTGTAGCCGTGGCTAGAAATTCAACTACTGAAGACCGCCCTAGAGACTGCTCGACAACCTCCTGTGTATTTCCTGAATGGTTGACGAGGAGTTGTTGGAGGCTGCTGGCTGTCGCTGAGTGAAATGGGTAGCAGAGAGAATTCTGCACCAAAAACTTCTTTGTGATTACTTTAGGGGCTAGCGGATTGCCAAGGTCTCCCTTTGTTTACATGAAAGATGTTGGCTTATGTGCAAACATTTGCTAATTAAACACCAAGCTATAATGAAACTTGAAATAGCATAAAGCAAACAGAGAGCACTCTCCTTCAAAATAAAAGCTGTGCCTTACACTGAAACCAACAAATTTCAAAAGATCCACTTTTTACTTATTTGTCCTATACCCATCACAGTTTCACTACAATTTAGTGAGTAGCTGGCAAGTGTTTTGCAGACAAATCAGCGTCTTCTATGGGCAACATCAGCAATCTACAACAACCAAAGAAATCACAAGGAAGTTTTCAGTGGAGCACCATCTCAAAGAGTACCTCTTTTTGACCAATTTCACCTAGCGATTTCCAGCAACCTCCAGTTACCCATCAAAGTCTATCAGGGAATACACATTTTTCCTAGCAACCGGTATTTACCAGTATGTCTCTAACTGATCTCTAGCCCTGTGTGGTTGGGGCTTTAGCCGTGTACCTGCCAGCAGCCACTCACAGCTAATCTGGGAACACAAATTTTTCCCTACCAAGCCAGGGTGGCTAGCATTAGCATCAATCATTAAAACAGACAGTTGTGTCTGTTTTAATAGGTAACTGCTTATGGACCCTACAAAGATGGCTTTCAACCCATGCAAACATTCCCATGCAGAACTTCAGAAAGTCAACACCGCCTGGCTCAACTCTTCGTGGGTTAGATGCCGATTGATTGACAAGTGGGCTGAAACAGGAAAGAGAGTGACAGTAACAGAAGAACAAACAACAACAAAAATCAGTGATTATAAAAATAAAAAAAGCACAGACAGTAGCTACAGTGGACATTTTTCATTGTTTTTAACACTCGGTTTCACTTCAGCTCTTTGTATTTTGTAACTTTGCTCCTCTGTGGAGTTGGCTGGAGGATCAGCAACAGCACAAATCAGTTTCACCACATCCTTTGGATACTTCCTCTTTCTGGCAACAGGCGCTCCCTGCTGTCTTCCGATGCAGTGCCAACAGAGAACTATGTTGAACCCATAAAACACCCTGTAGAACTGAAGCCCTCAGAGGTGGATAATAATATTTTCTCAATAGGATTGCAAGTCAGCAGCCTCTCATGTGTCCGTGCCAGGATGTTGTAAACCAGCAAGGTGGAAAAGTGAGTTACATTTTAGACGTCTCGTAAAAACAGCACAGTTGGGCGTTCATTCATTCATTAGGGTCACATTCATTGCAAACATGTTAGTTGATGTAAACCTGCAGGGAAGGTTAGCCACACTCACCAAACATTGTGTAAATTCAATATTATGTGTGTTGCACAGTGTTTGAAATATTGATGGCGTTTAAAATTAGATGATTTTAATTAGATTCAAACTGTATTTTTGACCTTGTCCATTACATCCTGATTGTTTCTTGCGTGCTTTCCTTTTCTTACATGACTCAGTTTATTTGGGTTTTTGCCACATTTAATCAACTAAGAAATTCATCCTAAGGAACATTTCTCATTATTCTAGAAATCTCTATAATTTGAAGGGTTTTTCTCATTCTTATTTTTGGTTAAATGAATTCAATTATCTGCCTATTTAAGCTTGTTGATTCTCTGGGAAACAGCTTGCCCTATTTTTCTACCAGTTTATTTCCAGTTTATTCCCTATTTTTCTACCAGTTTATTTCATATATATATATATATATA